TTTTTTTTTTTTTTTTTTTTTTTTTTTTTTTTTTTTTTTTTTTTTTTTTTTTTTTTCATTGTAATTAACGTTAGTAGTTTGTGTAATTGTACAGTTGTTTGTTCATGCAAGGAAGTACGTTTGAAACTTTCAGTTGTGGTTGGTCAGCAAACGACAACTGTTTGGATTCCTTACCTATTTATTTTTACTGACCACGTCACTACGAACATTTGCAAATGAATGGGATTAACGTCCCTTTTTAATTTAATTTGAAAAAAGTAGTGAAAAATAAATCGAAATGGATAAGATAAACTCGTGGAGCCGGACGATAGGCGACGATTTATTTATTTATGGCAAGCGCCGGGATGCCCCAGAAGCAGTACATTAACAGCGGCGGCTGTCAGTGGGCTCGAGAGTCTCGGCGCAGTCTCCTAACCCAGACGCATCGATTATACGCGGTATGATATCGAAATATATGACAACGTCATTAACTGCAGACTCTCTCTTTATTTTGGTACCATAATGGAAGCACGAGGTCGGACGATGCATCAATTGTGTATGTGAATGCACTTACTGCCTTTGGCTCGGGGAGGAAAATAGAGGTTTTTTTTTTTTATAGTTTCAGTGAGTGTGAAGGAGGGAAGTATGTTATTAGTAGCGTCTGGGACGCTCATTAGGGAAATAATAAGGTTTCGAAGTAACTATTTGTGGAAACACGTGATAGCCATGATCAACTTATTTTTAGGGAATCTCTAACGAGACTTGGTTTATCTTTGACGAAATTTTATGTATGAAAAATTATTAAAAAGTTTTTATTTCAATTTTTTTCGTCGTTCACTAAACTGCATGCCCTGTAAAAAATACTTGTCAAAGTATGTATTAAAAATACTCATAAGTCAAAATAATACAAGGGTATGATACATGACATATTTTGATGAGAGCCTTTGGAAAAACAAACGATTCCCATGGCAGAAAATATTTTATAACAGTAACAAAAAAGAAAAAATTGAAATGTTAAAAACTTTTATTATGGACGAGACCGGTACATTTTTCACCAAAGCAAAAAGTATAATTATAAAACTTGTAAAAGGTACAAATTACTTTGAACAAATTACTCATTATTTTACTGAATTCGCACAAAATGTTTAATATTTTTTGAAAAACTATTCGACTTTTTTATCATTGAGGGGTAAAGCAATTGATTTCTATCACAGTCATATGTCACGTACGATATCATAGCTACATTTACGTGCGCCCTCTCTTTTTGGGGCCTACTACAGATGGTTGTTGTGGGAGAGAGCAAAGGGATAAGCAGATAGGATGCTGAAGGGGGTTCTCTCTGGCTGGAACCGACAAGGACGAAGGTCGTACACACGACGCGCTCTTCTCTCGTTTTTGCATAAATAAAGACATTGATACTAGTCCCTCGACTACTTTCTTCGTGCGCACCCCAAGACCATAGAATCTTACGCAACACATAAAAACAGTTACCTTTTTTTGTAAGTTCTTTTTTTACCCATTTCTTGAATCTTGAAAGCTTAAAGATTACAGGGAAATAAAACATAAGGATGAAAAAAATGCGTTGTTCTGAAATCAAAAGCGTGAGACTCAATTTTCTAAAAATATTTTTGGAACAGCTCTTTTTTGACGCTCAATATACTACAAAAATAATTTTTTTTAATTATCCACACTTTTGATCTAAAATTTACACCAAGAACTGATATTTGATGATACTCATTTCTCTAGTGAAAATGTAGGGCACTTCTGTAGAACGATCATACCTAAAAAAATACTTTTTTTAGATTTATTNTTTTTTTTTTTTTTTTTTTTTTTTTTTTTTTTTTTTTTTTTCATTGTAATTAACGTTAGTAGTTTGTGTAATTGTACAGTTGTTTGTTCATGCAAGGAAGTACGTTTGAAGCTTTCATTTCTCTAGTGAAAATGTAGGGCACTTCTGTAGAACGATCATACCTAAAAAAAAAAAAAATTTCTTGTGAGTCACAATTATCCCCATGAAAAAGGAAAAAATAGTCAGTCTAGCCACCCCTTGTTCCAGTAGACACTCCTTTTTTTTCTTCCCATCTGCATCGATATAAGCGACCCAATGTATCGAATTACCCACTTTCCACGGCGTCGTCGCCGTGCACTCGGTGCTCATTTAATTTACTCGCTGGCCCGATTCTGTCAGGCCGGGCTGGTATACACATCGACTGGCTGCACTTTTAAATATAGGCGCTTTTTAATTCGGTCGCATGTACCACCGCCGACGGTGTCCCGTCGCTGCTTTATGCTTTATGCAAGCGACGGATTTTCCATATCTATATACGGATGAACCGCAGACGACGCTATTGATTTTCCATTAGGTCGGTCGCTTGGATTATTCGCAGCTATGTTGTTATTGATAATAGTGCACTACATTGACGCAACAGAGATTTGTCTGACTTGAGGCTGATGTTGACTACTTAATCATAAAAGTTGTTTGGGGGGGGGGCTGTATATAATTAATGCGTAATGCAAAGTTTTCAATGCTAAATTTCATTAATGATTAATGTTCTTGTGGAAATGTTGAAATTAAATGTGGTGGTATATCTTTATGTTACAGAGCCGGATACTAGAAGATGCTTCTATTATGTGCAATTCTTGGTCACCAAGGCACAACGTAAGCTGATTTCTATACAATATTTACCACCAACATAAATTATTAATTACCATGATTTTAAATTTACTTTTTTTTATTTTTTTTTTTTATTTTAAATCAGTTGAAAGTATAGTCGTGGGGTACTTTTGTAAGTCACCTATAGACCAGAAAGTTCCGTCGCTCGAATTATATCACAAGTGAATGTTTCATGAGAATCGCGTCGAAAGTCATAATTTATTTTCAAAACTCGTGGATCTTAAAATTCGTAGAATCGACTGTAACAGAAACATTGCTATATTAAATTTAAAAAATAAAAGAAAATTAACAATATTTTTGACCCATCAAACTTTATCGATAGTTTAACCCCTTTGTTAACTCCAACACAATCGTTCACTTCTCTGGATTGTTCCAGAGAAATTACATGGATGGAGAAATAAACTGAACAATCGCAGCCATACAAACACCCTCCACACCATGTCCCCGTGCGTGTGTAAATCGCAAGTAGTACGACCACAGATATGGTCAGCCGGAGAGGTGTACGCACACCTGTACATATACACTCCCTTTTTTGCTCTCTTCTGCGTAAGCTCGAAATATTTATACGCCTCCGGAATGTGCTTTTATGTATACAGAGTTGCCCAAGGGACGTATATAAAGCCGCGCTAACTTGCGGTTACGATTATGGGTTGCCTTTCCGGCTAAATTGATTATTTAAGATGTACAGGGTGTACGGAAGAAAAAAAGCGAAAGAAAGAGATATGCCGCGCGATACAGTTTGAGTATCGTAAAACGAGCCAAGTGTCTTTTTTTTTTTTTTTTTTTTTTTTGCCATCTTCGCCGTAGATGTACTGTTTTTTATCGCTCTCCCTTGCGATGGGCAATACTATACGGGGTTCTTCAGAAAATGGGTCTTGGCACGTGTACTTGCCTTAAAAAGTTTGATAATTTTGCTTGTGTGCGAATAGCGCAAATACTTTGCAAACAATTTTATTGCCAAGGATATCAAAATTCTTGTATTTGGCTCAACTCTAAAGTCCTACGTTTACACGTTGTTAGTAAAAAAAATTGTTCAAACTCTTTGACCCTTCAGCAAAACAAAGACGCAATACTTGTGTTGGTAAAAAACCAGTCACATATCATTGATGTTATAATCTAAATCGGTAAAGGCAACGAACCTTAAAATTTGCCACAAAATCGCTCAAACGATTCATAAAAGTGGGTATCAGACGAAATCCCGTCAAGCCTTCAGCCGTCAATTAACATCCGCGGGCAGCGAGGTCACGCCAAGCCCAGATATACAATCATCGATCCGTCGTCGTCCCAAGACGCAGTTGCGACTCTATCGAAAAATTTGTCAGTGCCATGCGACCGCAGTATATATATAGTTGAAATCATACTGTAAAATCCAAGTGTGTTGAAGTACACGTTCAAAGCGTGTAATCGACATTTCCGTTTTCATAAAATGCAATACTTTGTAAACTATTTCACACTAGTTTAATGGAACTGGTTAACCGCTTGGCGGATCATGGATTTAGTTGTTCTTCAAATTCTCATCCACGCCACCACTATGTGCTTTATAAAAAAACATAAATTTTACACTCTAAACGTGTTATTTAAACGCGCTTGGATTAACAGTGTGGCTAATCCGATTCACCGCGTAATCGATGGGACCGACGGAGGCACAAATCATCGGTAAAAAAAACAAAAGGAGAAAGAAATCAAATCTCCTCGGAGGAACGAAGTTCTTTTCTGGTCAGCGGTGATAAATTATTGATTCAGCGGCCGCAAGGAGTTTACGCGTGTAAACGGGGCAAGACCCACACACCGGCTCGACTTCTTCTGGCTCGCCGACAACGGGCCGAAAATAACACACGCGGCTCTCCGTATACCGACCGCAGCGTTGTATTATCACGAGTTCTCCACAACAGGAAATTCATCGGAGCCTCCCCGCCTCCTCCCTTTTTTTTTTTTTCGTTCGCGGAGAGCCCGAGACTCGGTATAGCGACGGGAGCTCATGAATTTTCAGGAAAACGGCTGAATAATTCACGGAGCGTCTGTCGTGGATTCGTAATGTGACCCAATGCCGCGAGTTTCGGCGCGATGGGGGACCAAGTTTTTCGATAAACTTGAAAAAGAAACGACTCGCGGAGTACATATGTATACGTCTCGCTCGATTGTCTGGACGGTTTTCGTGTACAAAAGGATGCGCATTAATTTTAGATGATGTGTCGGTTGAACCTAACGAATGTAACGAGCTGAAGTGCTGCTTGCGTGAAACAGAAACCAAGAGATTTCTGCAGCAGAGAACATCTTCATGTTCATTTCAAACCACAATTAATATTTCGAAGGTTGACGGAATTGACGTTGGGGTGCATGAACGTTAGATTAAAATATTTTTCGTCCAAAAATAGTTCTATAGACGAATGACAAGTCCGTAGCTTAGTGTTACCTGATGCATAAACCGTAAAATTTACAGTATTTTTATTCGTATTATTCGTACGTTTTACACACCCAAGCGACTTTAAAACTCGGGTCATTGTAGGTACTACTATTTACACATACGCTTGTGCATGCGTATATAAAATTGACACGCACTGTCGACGCTTTTGCCAGTTTAACTTGAGTCCGAGCAAGTTGCTCGATGTGTTGAATAATTCCTTCGCATTGTACAAAAGAGATACTATGTGGATTTGTAATTTATATTACACTCGTATCTCAGTCGTTTCAATACGTTTTTGCCAATAAAGCGTAAAGAGGTTGGCAACACCAGTCGACTAAATGTTGCTTGAAAATATTCTTTTTTTTTTTTTTTTTTCACTCAGTTTCCCCGGAAGGTTAATGGAATATACATGTTCGGTAAACTAAAAAAGTATTTCAATCGTTAACATAAAAACATGGTGTCTCATGTCTTTTTCTGTAAGAAATAAGTCATGTCGCTTTTTTTTTTTTTTTTTTTTTTTTTAATAACTAGTCACTTTTAAAAGTTATTGGCGATTGTGTAAAAAATGTTGAGATGAAATAATTACATCATTCTTGGGCAGTTAAATCCTAAAAATATGCCCAGGTGCCACCCACCTGGAAAATAAAACAAGTGAAGTCTCCACGTGTGTTTCCTAGGTACGTGGAATCACTGAAGACGATGTGTGTATGTTATTATAGAACAAAATCAAATACATGCTAAATTATCCAAGTATACAGAGTTACAATTACGGATGACGGTGTGAGCAGTGCATATAGATTATGCATAGTGTATAGCTAAGATTATGCTTATCTATCTTTGAACCGCGGCATGTTGTTATACCCCATAACAGCCCTATAATGAACTAACTGATGTAGTTGACGGTAAACTTGGTTAAAGTTTGTTTTAACTGCTACGAAAGCCACTAATTGTTCGGAAAACATTGGTAAGCCAACACATGGCCAAACAATATGCGGTCCTTACGTGAGAAGAACTACTTTACACGGGCAAGAAGGAGCCAAAACACAATCAACCGCAGATAGAATCACCGCGCGGGCTTAATAGCACAGCGAGCGCGAACATGACAAATCGGGCGGGCAAGCGCGGCCGAGGCGCAATTACAGAGCTCCCATTTTTAATCGGCTAATGACCGGCATTATTCTCCCTTAAAAGCGGCCTTCCATTCCCGAGACGACTCCTCTTCGTTTTATCAAGCCAACGCAGCGGGATAATCCCGCGGAAGAGGCGATAAATCCAAGGCTCTCCCCCCCCCACACTGGCACAACAGAGCAGCGTAATTCAATCGTAATTGGCTAATCCTTAACCTTAGCCTCTCCCTTCGCCTAGGTATTTAAGGCCCCCGTGGAGGGAGCGTCTCGGGCGAAAAATGACTCCATTAGGCGGGGCGCCAGCAACAAGTTTCCCGCCTCTCGCGGTGGGTGCTAACTGCTACCCCTCGCCCCTAATAAGGGCCATCCGTATCCGGACTTCCGCGTCGCTTCGGGGGCTTTCTCATTTATTTGCCGCGCGTCGGCGAGGTGGAGTCGTCGCGTCGGAATTTATCGGCCTGTTAGGTGCCCTAACGCCCTGTCTCTCGCGTACGACGGAGCTTTTTCATTTCCTCTCTGCTACTGGCGCTAGCGTGTAACCACGCGTTCAGGCTTTTGTTGTGTAGGTTACGTGACTGCTGTTGCTTGCACGTGGATGAGCTTTAAGTTGGTGGTAGCCAAAATTGTTGTCGGTATAGGTTTATGGTAATTTTCATGCGTATGTGTAGATACATGAACGACAACCCTAAAACACACTTTGTTGTTGCTGAGTTTCTTTGTTGTTGGACTTTCAATCGATAGTTCATAAAAATATTAGTTTCAGTTTTTTTTATAAAGGTTTTCTCGGGGTTTTTTTACGTAAAAAGTTGCATTTTAACAATATCGTTGAAACTCTAAGGGTATTTTCTTAAAGGTACTATGTAACTGTATAAATTTTTACGTACGCGCGTTTGTAAAATATTTTTCAAGCTCCCACCTATCGTTTTTTTGTTTGTTAAATATTGAATAAAAATTAATTCGAAGGTAATGAAATTTCATTTATTATACAACTGACAGTATGAAGAAGACAGTCAGAGATTTTTTTGGAAGTTAAACCATGTATTCTACGATATTTTGTAAAAGAGGGCTACACTGCTACCTTAAGGTTGTCTAGGTATAAAAAATGTTGTTAAGAGAATGGAACACAACTTTAAGAAAGTATTGATTAATTAAAATACACTTTTCTAGAAAATAGAGTAAAAAAATACCTTACGCAAGATAACATGAGCAATTCTAACCAAACTAGTTTTTCAAAAGATATTGATTAACTGATGTAATTACAACATCCAGGTGGAAACTTCATAAATTTCGAAATTAAACGCAATTTCCCAAAATCGTCCCCGAAAACTTTTCCGTCGAATGTTATGATCTGAAATTTCTATTGAGTATAGGTACTGCAACTTATTCATTAATAATTTCATTTTAATTTCCGACATGTTAACAAAGGCCAACTAACGGTAGCGCTTTACATCTTGAGTAAATTAATGAAGCGACCAAATGCATGAATCTCAAGTTTAATCATTAAAAATAACAAGAAAATATAATTGAGGATCCAACACGACTGTAGTAGTGCAGATTTCGAAAAATTTCGCTGTACTGACGTCGGACTCCATTACACGAAATGTGCGTGTATACAGAGTGCAGCTCGAAAGGCACGAGTGTAGAGCTAGAGCTCATAAATAATCGAAGCTCAGCCGTGCGGGGTGTTCGCGTTTTTCGTATATGAAACATCGATCGCCGTGGTATCTACCGCTTGAGAACGAGTGTAAAATATATGCGCAGCCTCGGGGCTTTCGTATGAAGGGACTATACAGTACACTCGAGTAGGCACTGATACATTTTTATTTATTCACTTTTTTTCTTGTAATTACCTAATATTTTTTGGAGGGTTATACATGACCAAGGGCTCGATGTATGTGACGCAAATTGACGTTACGTGAACAAATATTTGGAAAACTGGGTTGAAGAGGGCATGTCATTCAGAATGAGGAACTAACGTTAGAGGATCGCGTGGTTTGTCATTTATGATTTACGTATGTTGTGTAGAGATTGAATTTTTCACTATGTTATTATTTTAAGTAATAAACATTCATTTTTAAACGGGAAATTTATGTTATCATAAGTTCAACCTAAATTTATAGTCGTGGATTCAAAAATAATGCGAGTAGATGAATGTTTAACAAAAATATTTAGCGTGCATAAGTGAGAAGTAAATAAATTTTTACTCCACGGGATCCAGCGAATATTTTATGTATTTTAATGGTCAATAATATTGTTATGTTATTTGTTATATTTATACATCTTGTTTTATTCACTCATAATACTGAGACTCGTACTCTAAATGCCTCACGAAGATTCATAAATAAATAATTGAAAAATAAATCATAAGTGTGTGCAAATAATTTATTCCAATTATTGATCGTTAAGTTTTACACTTTTACAGTCTTTTTCCATAAAAAAAACAATTATTCTCTTGCTGAACAACACTGTCGTCGTATAGTATCCCACTTTTGTTATTTATGAAGGCCAGTAACGGACTACACTATCTCTATCTTGATCCCCCGTGTGATAAATAAAACTTTATGTTTTGACGAATGCATTGAAAGCAGCGATGGGGGTAAAGCTCTTGATCCAGCCTAGTTTTACGATGGTCAACCGTTGTTGCACGCATGATAAATTCATGGCTAATTACACCTCCGTTTGAGTTTAATAAGCCATAACCGATGGTCAAATATTAATGCGCTAATAAATTATCATTTCGTCTCGCCGTTTAACCACTAAAGCGGGACGTTTGTTTAATCGTGTATCTACACTACCGAATATATTTAGCACCGAAATGAATAAATATTAAGATGCTGGTAAATAATCCACCGAATTTCGAATAGAGTGATATCGAGTAATATTTTATTGTCAACCCTTTCACACAACCCTTGCGGCAGCTCATCGCTAATTCATCATCCTTTCACCGCACGTTCATTTCTTGGTAAAACCCCGGACTGGGTGACCCACCCTACAAACAAATGACATTTGTTTTTATTTATAGAACAATAGCCCGCGCTGTGGGTGTTTTGACTAGAGTAAATTAAAAATATTAATAAGCAGGCGGTTAACGACCGATCGTACAGTCCGGAAATAAAGATACGAGCGGCACGAAAAATCGTTCACGGGTTTTTCCTCGATAATTGTAGCATTATCATCGCCACGCCATCAGCCCAAATTATACCCATAATCAATTTAATTTCCTCGGAAATAAAGAGAAATATAATAATCCAATGGTGCTTACAATTAATGGTGTGTGTATATATGCACAATGGAAAAAAAAGCTTGAGCTTTCGAAGAACAGCAGAAACAAAGCCAACCGGTATTTTAGCAAAAAGAAATCAGGTCGATTTCGGAATTGCGTCGTAATTTGGGTCACGGCGTTTTATAGCCGCAGCCTGAGGAAATCACCCCCCGGCAAAAGTATTGAATTAATTATTTCCTCCCATTATATTACAACCCATCTCGGAGACCTTAGAGTAAAAATAAATTGATTGTGTGAATAAATGATGGGGGTATAAAGCAATTCTTCGAGGAACTGAAAAGAGCGTGTGCTCGTGGGTGATGTGTGTCGTTTCTAGGTGGGAATAAGATTCTGGAAACAGTACTATTTGAAGCGCTCAATTTCTGGGTGGTGTAAAACTATTATCCATCGTCACGAGCAAACGCGTTTTTCACAACTAAAGGCAATATGTATTGTAGCGCTGCTGTAACTATGCGATACTTAATAATATTACCTTTTACCGAGAAAAATGTACATATCGATACCTCAAGGTTGAGCTAATCGCTCAGCAAAATTAATAAGTTTTCTCTGTCGTAAAAATTAACGAGTTTCATGCTTCGCTCCTTCATTTCTTGGGCAAGGTATACCTCTGGATTCAAATGGACAACAATTGCAAAATTATAATTAAAAAATTCGTACATCCTCCGGTACATACAGCATCAATTACTTGCCACTGGATAGACAAAAAAAAAATAAATAAAATCACACCACGTGATCAGAAATGACATGGACAAAGAAGCCACTTCACAAGCTGTAATTGTCCATCCTTAAATTTTCCCAATGCACGAAAGAGATAGGAGGGAAATTTCTTGAACTAATTTACCAAGCTTTACGATCGACAAAATTATGCAACTGATAAATAATTTCCCAAGAACAAGCACTACTTACATTTGTCCGCAGTTCTGACGAAACTTTGTATAAACAGCTTGTCGATGGTTGTGCAGGAAAGAATAAGTTCTTAATCTATGAATGTTCCCCTAACTAATTAACACCCCAAGGACTTTCACTTTCAAGTATCTGTTTGGTAATCGTTGCATTTCAAGCTCGTGTACGGGTGCGTTGAGTTTATTTTTTCAGTGGATTGTGGAAAGCCCCAGTAGTACACAGTGGAAAGGATCTCCGCGCACCTAAAACTCTGTTTTTCCGTGCACCTACGTAATTGCGTGTACCAGCCCTTCAGGTAATCCCTCGGACTTTAATTTTTAATCGTGGCGAGGGACGACGATGGCTCTACAACACTCAAATTGGAACGTAATAACAGTTGAGTTCGTGACTTTTCCAATTTTCCCGAGAGATATTGTCGAACTCGCTCGACGGAAAAAAAATTTTACGTTTCGCTTTCGACGATGAAAGAAATCGTTCGACAACGAGGCCATCGACTCGAATTATTTACCCCCCCTCATCTGGATGACTCGAATAAAAATAATACACCAACCGTCGCTACACCTCGAGTTAGATGAAAACACAGACCCTTCAACAAAAAAAAAAAAAAAAAAAAAAAAAAAAAAAAGACCCTGTGACTCGTTGACTGACAAAAGCCCGTTGTCTTTGTTTTTCCAGGGTGACATATTCGGCGGATTGAACAGCGTCCAGGACAACCTGCTGTCGAGAGCGGAGGCACTGGCCGCGGATCTGGGCAAGCACAACGGCGGCACGCCAATGCCTCTGAAGCACGACCCCGTCTCGGTGTACCACCACGGTGCCCACATGCCAGCACCCCATCCGAACAACCGGCCGCACCACCAGGTACAGACACACCTCTTTGTGAGTGCAACGCTTTTATTTTTCTATATATCCAACGATCGCATTTTACCCAATCGCTCATTTATCACGGAATACGATGGTAGCTGTGCAGCCCATGCGCACGTTTTTCTCATTGAGCAAACGATGGAATCACCGCGCGGATCCCAAGTGTACGTATACAAGGCATCGATGCGAATCTCATTTTCCGCGAGTGCTCGGTTTCACTATCACGCGATAGTTCCTTCTCCGAGTGCGCACATCCTTTGTCAACGTCACTACGCCTTAGCCACGACAAATCGAAGGGGATGTAACTGTGCGCTCCTCTCCCCGCGACCCCCTCGCATTCATTCGTCAATTGCTGTATGTTATTTGAAAACAATGACTCGGAGTATATTTGCTGCGATCGATGTGTGGGTCGATCCCGCGATTTTGATGCGTCACTTTGTTGACAGGACGTTTCCCTATAGTCATCGTTGGGGAGGGGTGGTGTTGGTCCTACGTACGAGTGCAATTAAAAACAGAAGAAAAACAACGCGAGCCAACCTCAGGGAGAAAGGTGCACTCATCCGATCAACAACCCAAACGCGTGTAAATGCAGCCGAGCCCCTGCGTGCAAGCCTTTTCCGTGCAAATGTGGGGGGCACGTGGCTTAATTGATTCCCCCGGCAAGCGTCACTCGATCGGCGATCCATCATCATTGAAACCCATACGCGCCACTTTGATCGGCAATCAAGAACGACATCCCGGAAGTTGTGGGATACACCACTGTGTCAAAGCACCTTGCCCGTGGCTCCGCGTCACCCGGCGCGCGTGTGTATATGCGGGTATCGACCACCCCAGCCCCACTTGGAGGAAAAGGAAATTGAGGTCGATAACGTATTACATCGCAGCGAAGGGGATGTACTGCCCGATGACACCCCCGCACACACCTTTCGGTCTTGCGTGGCAGACTTTTGGTTTTGCGTTTTCAGGAAGGTCGGCTCTGGACAGCTCGTTTTTTTTTTTTTTGTGTTCGACTTTCGTGCGAGCTTATTGTTGCTTCGTTTACGGTTGAAGCTTCACGAATGACGAATATACTGTTTCTTTTGTTCATGCAGTGGTTGCCACCGAGATGAGCAACAACGAATAAAGTATGAAATTTCGGCCAATATAGTTGTACGGTAGACTTGGTCATGGTCATGACAGCATCGATATTTTTCATTGCCCCAAAAATAGGTAACACGCCAAGCGGCCCAGTATAGTAACCCTTGTGTGGGATGTGTTGTCATTTGCTGATTCGCTTGGAACAACTGTCTTGCGCACGATTCGCCGATGATCCTAATTATTTACAATTCGAAGACGTGAGCGTACGTTGGGGCAACCTTACTCTTGTATCGATCGGTAGGTTTGTGTGGTAGTAGCACCCCCTCTTCCCCCGAAAGTACGAGGAACACATGAAATCCATGTTTAAAAACCCCTGCCTCCACTGAAAGAGCTCATAAAAAAAAAAAAAAAAGAAAGAAAAAAGGTTCCTATAAAAGCAGTAGTCACACGCCTTATCTGTACATCAAAGTCAGTGGCACCCAGAATCCACCCTTTCTTACCTATACATGCCCGCGCGACATCATCGAGAGAGAGAGAGAGAGAGAGAGAGAGAGAGCCGGGGGTTGCAGATGGCTATAAGGTCGCGAATTCAATAAAAGAACCGATGGGAGAGGCGCGCGCGTAACGAGCGGGGAGGCGCTGTGCGACACGGTCGAGAGGATAAATGATGAAATATTACAAGGGGGCTCTCTCTCTCCCCCTTTCTCGTTTATTTTCTTTTCCTTGACGCAGCGTTAAACAGGATGCGAGTTTTTCCCGAACGAATGTTGTATCGCCATCATTTGTTTTGGACTCTTGCTCGACGCCTCGCATGCACACCTATATATATATATATATATATATATATCCCTCATCCTGCTGTCCCGAGTGCCCGGCATTTGTTGCGCGAGTCTTTTATCTTTCGGCCGAGTCGCTTGCATCATCTCGTTGTTTTCTCCTGTTACTCCGTGAAATTGCTATTAAACGTTACATGGTTCGTTAGGTGCAGGGACTTGGAGTCGTATTGCGTGGTCAAGGATCAAGTGTACTATAATCTATGAATATTTGAATTTTTCGATGTTCGGTTTCATTATTTGGAATAGTTCGATGCGACATTGGTACTTACTTCCACGAGAATATGAGCGATAAACGTTTACAACAATCTTTGCTTTTGCTCAAAATTGACCTGATGTAAACATTATTCTCGGCGTTTCGTTTAATTATCACAACTGTTAGAAAATGTTGGATTCGAACATGACAGTTTAACGGAACAGTTTAACGGAATTTGGGAGGCAATGATATCTTTGAAATAAGAAAAATTCTCCCGGGTACTGGCCAACTCTATTGTTTTTCTTTTACTCTTTGGCTTGTAAACAAACGAAAATATATGGTTCATTAGGACAGTGCGAAAAATTCTTCACTCTTGGTCCAAAGGGATCGGAATATTTGAAAGTAAAAACCGTTAAAATCGGTATACAGTGAAGCGTTAAAGCTCAACAGTGAATAGATTAAATATTAAGAATACCCGAAAAAGTTGAAGAATCAGCTACTCCTCAAAGATCAAAGTAAAATATCCCATCGCCATCGCCACAAGAACTATACCATCCGATCCCCATCCCAGCTACCATACACGAATTTACAAATGATCGCGCCACTCGATAAACATTTGCGCGCTCCCGCTATAATTGCATAAATAAAATCAAGCTCAAATTTGCTCGCCCCCCCCCCCTCGTCCACATCTATTTTCTCGTTAATTTCTTATTCCCCTCTCCACCCCTCCCACCCTCGTATAACATATACACACGCTCCGAGCTAACTTTCACTCCGGGGAATCGACGACCCCCTGTACGCGACACGCCACACCGACAACTCATGGATGGGGGTGGGTGAGGGTAGCAGAAGTAGGGGCAGCAGTAACGCGGTCCGCTTCATGTGCCGAATATGTCGATCCTCGTGCCACTTCCTAGATATGATAAGCATCTCTCGTGTACCACGTATACATATGTATATACATACTCAATGATCATAATATATCACCCCGACACCTTTTTCGTTTGGCGCGTCTTTCCCTGTAGGGTGGCGGTAGAAGATCAAGATCGGGGATCCGATGAACAGGTTGGAATGGTGTTGCAGCGTACGGGCTGATTTCTTTAATGATTCAATGGCATTTTATTTGGGTTTGAACATTTTTTTTGTAGATTCTGGATTGTCAGAAATAACTACCAAGGATAAGTGTGGGTCAATTTTTAGCGGAAAGGCGAATCTTCTCTCATAGTTTTGTAGGACTAATTTGTCAAGAAAATAAATGGACTTTCTTTTTGGCTGTTCAGTTGTTTCGCAAAAATATGAAAAATCAATCAAGTCATGCAAGCTCGTCGAATAAACGTTAGTAAAATGAAGTGTAACAATTTGTTAAAAAATGAGAACTAGTTATTAAAAAAAAATTTAACTTTCAGTTTATTACGATCAAGCTTGTTCGTCATAGTTTGCCGACACCTGTACCATGGATTTAGCCACAAAACTGATAAAAAACTTTTGCTAGAGATTATCTCTCGAAAATTCTTCAGCACTGTGTCAGACTTGGGCAAGGATAATTTTTTTATTTTGTTTATTCATTCAGTTTTCTAACATTAGTTTTTACTAAAAGTGATATGTTTACGAATGTAACAAAAATCTCCCCAAAAAAATAATTTACTAAAGGATTTTCTGTTTAGGTATTTTAACTGAAACTTTATTTTTATTTAGCACATTCATATTTGAATACTTGTTCGCAGAGCCATTTATTAGAGATATTGAGAAGAAACGTACGTTGACTCACACATTGTGGTCAATTACAAAATAATAGTAAGGAGATCGTAATGTGTCCTTGCCTTTTTATATAAATTACCTAAATAAACACCTATGATTTCTTCGAGACGTAATACAAATAAATCAAATACTTTTTAATTTAGTAAAATAATTTTTGAAACACTCATCTGCTTGACTTGAATATTTTTTAAAATTTTATTCAAACGGATAATTTTTTTTTTTAATTCGTTATTTCGTGTACAATGTTTTACAACACACTTTTAAAATTCCATAATACAATCGTACCCAAATCTCGCAGCACGGAAAACTATTTCTATCCTCCCAATGTTAAACATTTTTAGGAAAGTGGCACTCGGACCGTTAAAAAACAAAAAAAAAAAAAAAAAAGACCAATACGTTGGCAAAGTGCATGTTACAAAAACACATGTACGGTAGAGCGACCCACTGTATTTATAAACGCAGGTGCGCCAGCTGTTACGGCAAAACTGCGTCATAGTTCATAGTGTATATACACAAGTGGTAGTTGGGCAAGAAGGGGTCAGGGGTAAAAAGAAGATATGGCGAGAGAGAGAGAGAGAGAGAGAAAGAACGCTGGGGGAGCTCATAAATAATTTGCGAGGGCTTTTCTGTTGAGAGGCCTCGTAAGGGTCGGGGAGGAGGGGGGGGGGGCACGTGTCGCGTAATTACATTGCGTGCTGTCTGTCTTCCTCTTTTTCAGACGCCACTGCTGTCACTGCCACCGCAAACTACCGGAAAACTGTCGCCTCTTCGTTCTTTTTTTTTCTTCCTTTTTTGCGAGTATATGTTTCCGTTCGAACTGTAACATAGACGGGTAATAAATATTTTTTTTGCAATTGGTCATTTGTTGAAAAAATCACTGCAGCTTTGGTTAGTTGCACATACTCATCAGTAAACAGATATCTCATGTTTAATTTTTTCATCGGTCCAAAGCAGCCTTTGATCACGTTGCATTTCAATTTACTTTTTACGGGGACTGTACGAGACCATAATGTTATTTAGAAAATTATATTCAACATAAATTGAAAACACAGTTAAAATTTTTGTGATTTTATTGATTTCGATTAACTGATTTAACAATAGAACTAAATACGTTATCTGTTATAAGTTATTTTCATTGACGTATCTCTTATCAGTTATATGTTTACAGTAAAGCATATCATTAATTCAAAGGCCGAATCGAAGAACCAGTTATGCGCTTAACCATTAGTCTACAATATATTATGCACTCTGCCAATTTAAACGTTCGATAACTTTGTGATTAAAAAAACTCAATTTACGATTCACAGCCTGAAAACTTCAAGCGATAAACTTGTTTCGGATTCAGATGTCTTAATTTTTGATTTCAAGGATTTTTCAAGCGATTTTGTAGTAAATGATACGATTATTAAGTAGTGCGTAGTTAGCGTAGGCTTGTTGCTTTCTTGGCGTCAGTTTTTAAAAAATCACTCGTAATTTTCGTTCGATACGAGATTTGAAACATTGCATGGACATTCCAGAGAACAAGTGGAGCAAGATTCCCGCTGAGAGTTTTCCGACAGTTATAACGATAAATTGCTATTGTTTACTCTCACAAAGATGCTCGAATATACGCAGTTGGAGAGTATATTTAGATGGACTACTGTTGGAGTTCACATTGTATTCTACGATCCGTCCCTTTATGTCGTTGTATGCAATACATCATACTTTTTTAAAACGTGCTGGTTCACTACGTGAAACTTTGATCAATTGAAAAGGGAACCCAAGAAAATTACTCATAGGTACTATTAATCACAATTTCATCTCATATTGTACTGATGTTATTTTTCTCTGTTTCACTTTTCATCTCATTGTACCCCCCATTTTTTATTCATATTTATGTACTATAGAGACACCAAATTCTTACATCTAATATGATTAAAAAATAGCCTAGATCTGATAACAATTCGCCATATATTTGCAAGATATCGAGAGATCAAATTCAGACCCAAGGAATTTTATAACTATTTTCATAGAAGTGCCAAACTTTTTTTCCAACTTACGATTATTAAGAACTTTAAGCGGGGGATGGAGAACTTGTTGTGACGTGCAAAACATAGCTATTTTAAAACCTATTGTTAAGACAAAAAAGGCTTTTTCCAATGGAACATTGTCGTGCGCAACGAACTGATTACGTTTTTCATCTGGTAAAAACCTCCAATGTTCCAAGTGCCACGAGCCAAAAGTAATTAGTCCCGAGTCCCGATTTAGATGTTCATACGAGCGCTCATGTCGCGGACACAGAAGGGCCGCAGAAACCCTGAATCAACTGAGAGTCGAGAGCATTGGTATCAGCTACGAAGGTGTAATTCAATCATCGGGCCACGCTCGATCGATCAAATTGCATGCACCACGGCGAACTCGCCAAAAACCCCTTCCCACCCCTTCAGAGGCACGGCGATTCGAAATGCGCATTCAATGGGGCCCGCGAAACTCGAGCTGGCTGCTTTTATTTTGAATTTTCGCCCGTCTCCGGGAGCTAAAACAAAACCTGTCTGGTTCATCGATTTTCCGTCCGAGCGGCTCGTCTTCCTAATTTAATTTACCATCGCGGCGCGAGAACACATACAGAGTTTCACGTCGCGCGACATGAATCAAACGAGAGAAAGAGACGCCGGTGTTCAACGGAAGATCAAGAGAAGTGCGTATCGTGCTTGCGAGTGACGTTATTCACATCATTTTCTACTCGCCCTTTCCTGCTCTATTGTTTTTTAATTTAGGAAATCTTTATTTGTATCTCAAGGGTGTATACTCTGCAGTAAATTAAAAGTCTTTCAAATGGCATAAAATTTTGGGAAATTGTTTATGTGGACGAAATACATAACAATGCGAAATTTGTGATATGGTTCACGAGAAAAAATAGTTTGACTATCGTTTTTACATTATAGCTACTAGTGGAATGCAGTCAATTTTTCATGTCCTTCATGAAAAAAGATACAGAAATTTTCTTATCATAAATGTAAAAAACCAATTTATACGGAGCTGATACAATTAAAAATAGATTGGCATTTTGGGAACCATAGGTTAATTGACTTAATCAAGAGATATTGAAGTGATGCAGGAGATTATTTCAGAATAAGACGTCATGTAATAAGATGCAACTATGGCTTTCAATTTATTCGAAAAGTAGGCGTGTAAAATTTTAACACTACTTTTCTAAAAATTTAGTAAGTGCATTCCCACCATTTGTAAAATTGGTAAATTTTTATGTTTTGTTTATTTTGGTAGAGGCTCTATAGTGATAGAGACATCATAATTGACCTGGACCAGGCATATCATTAAGATTTAGATATATAAATAATTACATGGATCATCCACTTTGCAAAATGTACGGTTAAGATTAAATCCATGCCATTAAATCAAAATTGAAATCAAATACTAATCGACGCATTAAAACCATCATCGATAAATCTACCTCTCCGTAAAATGTACATATTATCGAACGTGTGATAGTTGAACGAGAAAATAAAAACACCCGTCCGTCTTATGTTTCAGATGAGCCACCCGGGAATGGAATCTCTGGACATGCTGGATCCAGCCAACTCAATGACGACCCTGACGCCCATGTCAGAGGGCGCCACAGTCGGAGGCGGTGGTGGCGCCACGAGCAACAATCCCGGCCACCACGGTGGCATCCACGGACCAAGCATGTACGGCACCATGAACGGCATGATGGGCCACCACCACCACCACCACCACCACGGACAGATCGGCGGTAGCGCACCCCACCCCCACCACCACCCCGCGATGGCAGCGGCAGCAGCCGCGGCCGCGGCGGCGGGCCTCCATCCGGACGCGGACACGGACCCCCGCGAGCTCGAAGCCTTTGCGGAACGGTTCAAGCAGCGGCGCATCAAACTCGGCGTCACTCAAGCCGACGTTGGCAAGGCCCTGGCTAACCTCAAACTACCAGGGGTCGGCGCCCTCTCCCAGTCGACGATATGTCGCTTCGAGTCGCTGACTCTGTCGCACAACAACATGATCGCCCTGAAGCCCATCCTGCAGGCCTGGCTCGAGGAGGCCGAGGCCCAAGCGAAGAACAAGCGCCGGGACCCGGACGCGCCCTCTGTCTTGCCGGCCGGCGAGAAGAAGCGCAAGCGCACGAGCATCGCCGCGCCGGAGAAGAGGTCGCTTGAGGCGTACTTCGCGGTCCAGCCGCGGCCGTCGGGGGAGAAGATAGCGGCGATCGCCGAAAAGCTCGACCTGAAGAAGAACGTCGTGAGGGTGTGGTTCTGCAACCAGCGCCAAAAACAGAAGCGCATGAAATTCGCCGCCCAGCATTGACCCGAGGCCGGCTTGTGACAGCAGAACTGACTGTACCAGCCGCCGAACCTCGAACCCAAGCCCGAGCCTCTTGGCGAGTACCAGGGCTGGCCCTGAATCGTCGTCTTTGACCACAGGACTCTGGCCCTGCGCTACACCGAGCCGAGATGTTTGTTGACGGTTTCGTTCGAAAGGATTGCGCACTTCCAGGAACAACAACGAAAGAATCTGAAAACGCTGTTAGACCTACTGAATAAGTCTTTCTGTCGCACTACCCTCAATTTTACTTAGAAGTGACTCTTGAAATCGTACAATATACGAATTCGCTTCAGCTCGGAAGGGTATAACCGCGCGCATTCGTTAGGGAACATCGGAGAACGAAGACAACATTCCGAAGGCAACCACGGAAACATCGACTCGGTGGAATAACTTTGCAGGCCATGGTTTCAGCAGCACGTATAGGGTTTCGATCCGTCGGCGGATCCAAATGAAGTTTATCTCTGTCACAAGCTGACCCATAAAGAACAGTGAACATGTGTGTATGCGTGTGTATCTGTATGCATGCATGAGTGTGTTGCCGATCGCTCGGCTGGCGCTTGCTCGTTTTCCCCGTCACGTGTGAGTGACGATACTTACTCATGTCTTAAAAAAGGGAACGTCGCGCAATGGATATTTTTCATCCGTTGTTTCTTATTCACTGAAAGTTTGAGATAATAATTTTACCAACTTACGAGATTCGGCGGGGATTCTTCTATCGAGAATAAGGAATCCTTCGCGAGAACAGTTGAGTTGATCTCACGCGTGAAAAGGTGGGGGAAACAAGCCGAGCCACAGCGGAGCGACGAAGCGCAACGAAAGTGAGAAAGGGGACGAAATGATAACAAAGTGTATAAGCAAAGAATTTGGAAAGTACAACTCGAAACATATATAACTTGCGTAGCGTAAAAAAAACAATTGTTATATCGGAATCGCTTGGACCCGCTCACACGCGAGCGTAACGGGTGACTCCTCGAAAGTGATATTAATCCTAAATGATATTTAACGAACGTGTGAGTATGTGCGATCGGTGACGAGTGAAGATTAATTCATTATCTATATGCTATCTTCATCGTTGGGGGTCGATGCGCGCCTTTTGTTTCTGTTCGAGTTCATTAATTATTATTATTATTATTATTAATATTACACATATGTGAGATGAAAAGCTTGTAAATTTAGCTCGCAGANTAAAAACTATGAACAATTAAATTTTCATTTAGATGAGGTGAATTTCCGTGGTTTAAAAAAAATGTAACTTTGTTGAAGTTACGATCGTCCCGAAGTTTTATGTCAATTGGCAAGAGGATTATTACGAAAGATCGATAGGTGAAAATTGAGCATCGAAAAGCTCATCCATTATTGTACATATCATGTGCCATAACTCATTTTCCATACTTCGTGTCCAACTTTGTTCCAAGTACCTAATCAACTATAAATAATATAATATGATAAAATAAATCTCGATGTTATTGATAAATTAGGAGTTTTTCATTCACTGTTTCTTACACTCCCTACTTCGGGTTTATATCTTATTTATATTTATTTATTTATTTTATTATTTACTAATATCCGATAATAAAAATACTGAAATCAAGCAATACATTTAGAATTTATTATCATACCATCGATTGAAGATAACGACGACTTGGGCTCTTTCTTTTGCAGTAATCTAAGGACTACTTCATCGGCTCGAAGATAAAAGACATGGAATAAAATTCTGAATACCGTGTAGAGTGACGACAGATACCGTTTTTACGTTTATCTTGATGTTCATCTGAAAAATACACTAATTTTTCAACTTGTAAGAAAATATTTTCAAACATTACAATATAAGCTCAGTGTTAAGGTGAATTTATGCCACAAGTTATTTCATTTGTTTAAACGTCAAGTCGTCCGAAATTTGGCGTGCGATGCTACTGTGAGCGATTGTTTTGGAAAGAAAAAATAATAAATCAAGCAATCCGATCGCGCGAATTGTGTAACCCATTTTTGAAGCTGTACATAATGTAGAGATTAAGTATATTCTAGGAATAATGTGATGAACAAAGGGATAAGCTATATACTGTGTAGTCAAACTGATTCCAGTTGTGTAAATTTAGGTACCCAATTAACGCAGTAGAAGAAAAATGGGATCGAATGAGATGAAAATTATTAGTGCAATATCGGTAGTTATTAGTCGTTTTCTTGGGATAAAATTATTACCTTTTTTTCTAGTGAATTATGGTAAAAAATCTAATAACCAACATTGCGCACCAACTTTAAAATATTTCTTTTCGAAAGTGATGCCAAGCGAGTCAGATCATCAGTTATTATAATTGTAACAAATTGCATGCTTGTTGAAACTTGCGCAATTGGAGTTTTACAAAAATAAATATGGATTATTATCATTATTAGATGGTGAAATATGACGCAGGAACTATTGAGGGATTGAATTGACATTATAAATATAAGTGTAATTTTTTGGGAGAAATTTTTTCTTTGCCCAATTTTTGCAACGTAACAGTATACACGATGGTCATCGAAAAATATATTTCACCAATAGAAATGTATAAAATCAACATCGCGGGGAAATAATATCTTATCGTGGGGAAAAATATTTTATTGTACAAGTATGTATTAGCTGATCAATCAATAAAATAGAATCCAATGAACTTATGTAAAACTAAAATTTTTTAATAAACAAGATTATAATATTCAGCATATAAGATATTGAATCATACACCATAAGTCATGACTTTTTTTTTTTTTTTTTCATTCTATAATACACTCAAACGATTGCAATATCGATTTTAAGACACGCTACATATATAACCCAAAATATTTTTTCCCGCGTCTACATTTTTAATGACGAGTGATTTTGTCAGTATTTAATAAAAACAGGGTAACGAATCATCATCATCGCAATGCTTCTGAACAGCATAGTTAAATTATTTGTACTCTTGTAGATAACCTCAAAAATACGTCAAGCAGTCGTAAATGGTTTGGGCGCGTTAGTTGTTTTTTAAAAAATGATTGAAAATTGTGTGCTTAGTGTTTCATTAACATCGTTGTCTTTTAAAATCAGTGAACTTATGGTTACTATTACTTTTTCTACTTATTTTTCTCTGAGATACAAAAAAATTTGAAAAGTTTGAACTCATCTTCCAAAAGTCATTGTAAAAATAATTCATTTTCATTCAACAATGTCATCGTCTAATTTAACATCGAATAGCAAGTCACAATAGTTAACACAATGCAATCAACTTGAATTTTTGCACTAAGGAATATACGACAATTTTATGTACAAAAACTACAGCATCTTGAAAAAAAAAAAAAAATTTCCAGATGCACTAGTATCCGACGATACAGGATACAAGTAAAGCCAAAATGAATTGTTACATAATTAAAGCATTAAAAAGCACTTGGCAATATTTTAGTTCATTTTGTATAGAAGAAAAAAGAACTTACTCGTGAACTTTGCGAAATAATGCAGAAATAAGGAAATAATAAAGAAAAACACGTCACTTTTACTTGCGTATTAGCATTTGTAATACTGTTAGTGCATATTTGTTGAATTTCGTCGTCTTGATACATTATTTGTATTTTATCCGATATATAAATATATAAATATATACAAAGAATAAACGAATCAATCGAAGCTCGCGACACCTCAAGTGTACGTCGTTTTCGAGCTCAAAAAGTAGTCTTTCTTCCTAATTACCCCTGGTTTCATTTTTTTAAAGAATTTTATCATTAGCATACGCTGTTTCTTGCCCATTTTT